GGAATCATGTGTGTGTGGCCTAACCTGAGCATTTCCAACTACGTGCCTGTGGTCTGCTTGTATAGACGAAGTAACTGAGGCACAGATTGCATGAGGACATACTTAAGGCTGCAAGGAGTCATTGGTAGAGCCATGAAGCCTGGGAGCCCCATGCCTTGAGCACTAGTCCCATGTGGTCTTGGTCTTTTGCTGAGGAGCTAATGGTGCACCAGTCCACCTGTTGCTTCAGGAAAGGCTGTATTGAGACAGCTTAGGCAGGATCCCTCCTGGGCAACCCTGGACAGAGTCTGAGCTGCCCTCCATGACCCTGTGTTTCCTGGGGCTGCTGGTGACAGCAGCAGCATACCGTGGATCTCTGGCACCCGGAGCCCAATTTTTGCATTTGCAACCCCGCTTCCCCCCCACCATCTGCAGCCAATCACCAAGCCTGGAAATGCCGGCAGCAAAACTGGAAGTGCCGGCAGCAAAACTAGAAGTGCCGCCAGGGACCGAGCTCAGCTGGTGCCCGGGGGCGTGGCCCATGCCCCATCAGCATGCCACTAGGCAACAGTGTGGAGAACAGATCCCACCACCTTGGGATCCTATGGAGTGTGTAGTAGGAACCCTAGTCTATAGCCAAGTAAAAGTACTTAAGGGACTGTCCTCTGTTTTGTGGCAGGATGTGATTAATATCAACAACTGCCTAACAATTCAAAGCTGTTGGGCTTTCCTGCCAATCCAAAAATGGGACCAACGAAGCCAGCAGCTGGAAGAAATGGAAAATGCCCTTGTCCAGATCCATGCCATCAAGAACCTGGGGGTACTGAGGAAAAATGTGAAGTCCTGGGGCAGGACCCTGTGCTTCTGAATGGTAGATGTGTCTCTGCATCTGCTGAGAGGTGGCTCATGGGGTTATTGGGCTGTGGGTTCTGGGTGCATATGAACACAAACACACACACAAAAGTGACAAACCTGTGCAGAGCAGGGAGGGAGGCTCCTTGTTATTGTGCAGGGAGAGCAGATCCTTCCTGCATGGCTGGAAAGTTCCAGCTGTGGGATGGGAGACCCTCCCCAGCACTGAAAGGAGGGACAGCTGAAGTCAGGCAGTGTCCTGTTCAGCTCACACCACCTCAGTTAGCAGCCAGCATGGGCAGAACGGAGACCACAAGTGAGCTACTTGTGGCCTGATTCCTGGGGGCTTCTGTCTTTTCCTAACATTTCTCCTCTTCTTCCCTTGTCTTGCAGGGAAAGGACTCCGAGGGACTAAAAATTCCAGGCTGCACCTTCCCTGTTCCCAAAATCAAGATTCCCTCCCCTTTAGTTTTTCCCCAAAGTTTAATGAATCATTCAAAACTCAGTTAAGCTCAGGAAGTCCTTGCTGACCATGGTTGGTACCACACTGCAAGGAGGACACAGGAGTGGAAAAGGATACATCTGATGTTGGGTGGGGAGAGAGGGAGGAGACGATGCACCCTCAGGACATCCCAACACACCCCTGAGAAAAGTTTGGATCAAACCTGTTTGTGTTCAGTGATAGAAAGAATATGGTCACAATAGATGAGCACTCCAGTTTTTTGGAGGGTGGACCACCTAGAGGACACTCAAACCAGCTCACTTTGCCAGGGCTGGCCTGCTCCATAACTTGTATTTGAACAACAGGCCACAATACACAACTAAGGAATTCAAATGGTTTAGCAGAAAGTGGGACTTGGAGCACAAGGTGACTTCCCCAGAGTACTTGAAAAGCAATGAGAAGATTGAATCAGCCAAAAACTCCTGAAAGGGGCAAAAAGGACTGGATATAATCCTTCTCTGGCTTTGTGGGACCATTGCCCTCAGAGCCAATTTTGTGTGCTTTTTGTGGTGGCCCCATCACTCGGCCCTGATTGGTGGAGAGACCTGGGGGGCAGGAGGGACAAGGTGGCAGCTGCCATCTTTATGGCTGGCTGCCCTTTGTGCAGTCCTGCCCCTCAGTGCTGATAGATGGAGAGGCCCCTATGGTGGGGAGAAGGGACGAGGGGGCAGTTGCCATCTTATCTGCTGCCCTTTGTGCTGCCTTGCAAGCTGGTGCCTTCCATTTCAGCAGTGAGGACCACTGGCTCCCAGCATTATATTTTTATTAAGCTATTGATTTTGCAGGCAATTCCAGATGTCTTGGTTTACATGAAATCTGCAAAACCACAAAGGAAGTGGGTCCTTAATAATAGGGAGTCCTTCAGGCTTGGAGACTAAAGATAGAGAAACCAATCTGAATCACGTTCCTTCTCCCTACTCATTGTCTTAGTGGCACAGTTGGAGCCAAGATTCCCTCCCCAGACAGAACCAGAGTTACTTTTGCTGGGTGTGGGAAGAGTATGTGTCAAGAGTACAGCTCAAACCTAGTGGGAGGCTGGGGCCATTCCCCACCCTCCCCAGAAGCCCCGTGTTGGCTGGGACTCAGCTGGACTTCAGCAAGGTACAAATCAGGGACTGACAGCAGGAGGACCAGAGCCATAATCCTCAGGGTGAAGCTCTGAGATCAGTTTGCTGTGAGGGGAAAGGATGATGTAACAATAAGATTAGGGCATGGGTGGGCAGAATACAGGCTTGTGGGTCATATCTGGGCCAAAAATTGATCTTATCCAGCCTTCCAACTGCTGCTGGGAGCCTGAGGGGGGATGGATCTGCCCCACGCCTCTGCGTTCTGCTGCAGCTGGGGCTGCGTCGGGATGCACAGCATGCAGAATCCTCCATGCTGTGCAGGTGGGCAGGTTTGACAGCTACTTAGCTAATAGCATCAAGCCCCATCTCATGCAGGCCTGGCTGCTGGCAGCCATGATGTCAAGACTGTGCAGTGCCAACAGGAAACTAGGAGGCAGGGGGTATGGGTGGAGGGTGTACTGGGTGTAGGATTCTGCACAATTGGTGGTTCAGACTTGTCATGGCGGTAGCAAAGTGGTATAGCGTGGGGAGCAGCCATCCCACCTCAGGCTCAGGGTGGCAGCTAGATGGCTGGATAGGATCCATTGCAGCCCCCACTGCCATCAGCCCTCCACAGCTCACTTTAAGTCATTAAGTGGCCATCCAGGCCAAAGAATTGCTCACAGGCTTTAAATACAAAAACATGTCACAAGAGTCTGCATATTATTGTTCTCTATGCTCTGAGGCCAGGACTTTTCCCATATGGTTGCTGGTCTTGGAGTAGCAGGCATATGCTCACCAGGGACTAGATAGAGCCACTCCCTTAGCAGATTGTGGCAAGTGGGATGGAGCAAGGAGGGGGCTGCTGTGAAGAAAGCCTCTCCCCAAGCCAAGGGTAAGTAAGCAGCTCCAATGGGAAAGTCTGACCTTTGATTTTGGATCTGAGTTCTGGAAGGCAGTTGTTCAGCCAGGGGCTCTTATCACTGTATTCACGAAGAGCTACTTAAATGATGGATTGTCTTGTGGCGGGCGCATGACAAAATGAATACACAACACAACACCTTTACATTCAATAGGGGGAACAGTAATAGCCAACATGAAAAAGTCCTTTTGCACCTGTATAGATGTTCTTAGTGAGTTGCGCATGGCCTGTGGGCTGCAGTTGGGGAACATCAGCATTAGGTATGGGTGGCTTGTCCTCAGTGTAGCTGGGCACCTGCAGCTTCAATGCTTCTAGCTACAGCAATGCCCTTATAGTTCTGGGGAAGGTCTTGCAGTTCTGTTCCTGGGCCAGAGGAGGAGGGATGTGAAAGCACACAGATAAATTAGGCCAACCTAGTAAATTAACCTAATGACCATCCCCTAGTCACAGAGAGTGTTGTGCCAGGTGTTCTGCTCCCTGGGACTTGCCACATTGGCCCAGCAGAGTCAGGTTTTACCCCTGATTCTATACAGGCTTTAAATAAAAAAACATGTCACCAGAGTCTGCACATCATTCTTCTCTATGCTCTGAGGCCAGGACTTTTCCCATATGGTTGCTGATCTTGGAGTAGCAGGCATGTGCTCACCAGGGACTAGACTGAGACCCAATTTCCCCATCCCAACTCATTCCACGGTGGCCTCCAGGCATGCCCCATGTGGAAGAAATTGCAGGTCACTGGTGGCCTTGCCCAAACAGTGATCAGGGGCCTGGAAGTGAAATGGTAGATCATGGTCCGAATCCACCAGGCAGCCAGCCCCCAGGGATAGAACTTCTTTCTAGTGTAATACAAGATCAATATTTTTCTCATTACATGGATAATTCCAGAGTTTAAATGAAGAGGGTGACCCCAGGGTGGAACTTCCTCAAAAGTTTGAAATCAAACATCCCTGGGCCATGCACAGTGCTTGGTTGCCCTGGTGGGATGCAGCTGGCAGTCTGTGTCCAAGCCCTTCCCTAGCAAAGGAATAGGAGTGGGAATGCAAAGGAGCAACATACTGGTGCAAAGTGCTTCTGATGTTGTAATCGGGAGAGAAGAAAAGAAAGGAGTCTGCTTCTACATGACACACACTGGCAACCCTCCCTTTCTGGAGAGGAGGAACAAGGGCTGGAAGCAAGTGGGTAATCTACAAAGAACCTCACATTGCTTGGTTACAAAGCTTTGGCTCAAGAGGTGGGCTCTTGCCTAGGATTTAGATCTGTCGGACTGGTCCCCCTGGCAACTGTGATTGG